CCACGCGCAGTGAGTTTTTCGGAGTTTCCTCGTGTCTCTCGATACGTTTGGATCAAATCCTTGTGATATTCAAATTCACAGGACGAAGTAATGCTAGAATTTACCTCCAACTCATTTTTTTCAAGCACTTTCAGCTTGCTTTTGATGAATTCCATGTGTAAACAATGTGTTCAGAACAAAACGATTTTCAATCGCTTCCAATGTGCGGAAATTAAGTCACCGCGAAATATAAGTCAATCACAATACCACATTTTTCAGACTATGCATGTACAAGGGATGGAAAATACTGAGACTGGATTTTAAACTTGACATGAATGTTCACCGATGAAAGCCTTTGGTCCGTCACAAGTGGTAGCAGCGTGATCGGAATTCTGCTGCAGACACAGCACGCTGGCCTGCCGACGCCAGACAAAGCGTCAAGGCCTTCACTAATGCAGGAAAAGTGGCCTTCTCGTTCTCGGGAAGATGCTCGAAGATGTGAAAGGTTCTTTCTCGCTAGCGTGTCGGCATGTACAGCAGCTTCTGGGCGTCGTTCCAACTGTTGGCTGCTGTGCAAGCACAGAAGAGCTTTGCCCAGGATTCGAAGTTCCCCTCACCAGTCAAGACGGTCGGGAGGACATGGGTTAGAGGTTTTTGCTGCCATCTCGTCGCTGCCGCCACTTGTAACGGACCAAAGACTTTTGTCGGTGGAGATTCATGTTAGGCTTAAAATCCAGTCTCGGCGTTTGCCATCCCATGCACGCGCACGCCCACTTATTTCAGCCGTCGCACTTAATCCTTCTCAGTTCACACGCACAGTTACACATGTTTAAAAGTTAGTATTTTACTTCAATCACCTTGCAACATAAAGAAAAACTGTGTCTGCGGGGCACCAATCCTCTTGTTCAGTAAATATAGGAGGAATGGAGCAACAACAAGAAAAATTAATGAAGAAAAAGCAGAAGAAAAGCAGCACTCATAGAAGTGGATTTAATAAAATAGTTGTTAGTTCGGTGCTGGGTTGTCTTATCTCGTCTCATCCCTTCCTTCCCATGTTCAGCTGGCTCCACCCGAAATGAATAACCAACTAGCTGAGCTTATTCCCTTTGTATGGTATTTTATGTTGTGCAGATTATCTGCAAGTGTAAACTATACAGGGATTTCTTTATTTTAATGTGAAAGCATTAACTGGTCCCATGGAGTGAACCGGCATCATCAGCTTTGAAGCCGCGCCAAACGACACCTTCCCCTGTCCCAATGCAGTCTGTTGCAGAAATGTGATGGATATAGCTCCCATTGGCTGGCACGCGCCATCAAGGAACGAGGGTTCCATTGGCTTTCGTGTGGCATAGTTCCAAAAAATGCCACCAGAGGAGCCCTCTTCATGGCTGCGCAGCCCGCTCGGGCGAACTTCGAAGAAGCCGTACGGCCGAGCTCAGCTAGCACGGCGCGACCACTTCACGAAAACATGCGCTCGGCCGTCGGCTGCTACCTTGGCAGTAGCGAAACGTGGCCGTCCATGCCACTATGCCGCAGACAAACTAAGGGAGCGGAAGAACGGCGTTCATACTTTCGCATTCGCTTGTCACTCGCTTTCGCAAGTGACAAGCCCAGTGCAATCGTTGGGCTAACATTATTTTACTTTAGACATTACTTGGCAAAAAACTGTCTATGCTTTAGAAACCCCCCCCCCCCCCCCCCCCTGTCGTGGGTGATGAGCAAGATAGCTGCCCCTCAGGCAGTCACTGTGGTTGGAGCTAGGCATTGAGGCCACAAATGCCTACTGCTTGCAGTTGTCAAATCCACAGATAAGCGACTGTGGAGTTTCAGAAAGCATGATCCCAATGCCTCTGAAATAAAGAGTGCTCATGTTTATTTTCCGTTTCTATTGGAGCAGTATGAATTAGGAAAACTATAAGTACCGTAGACGAATCCGAGTTTACGTATTGTTTGATTATAGGGATGCCGCAAACTTTTTTGGAATCAAAGTTTCTATGATTGAATCGAAAGGTTTGAAAGTTTTCGCATTTTCAAACTTTCCATATCGAGAAATTCGACGAAAGTCAAATTTTCGAACTTGTTAAACTAAGAAGTTCGACGCTTTTAGAAATTTCAAACTTATTATGCTGCAAAATTCGATGCTTGTCGAACTTTCGAACTTGATAGACCGAAAAATTCGATGATTTTCGAACTTTTGAATTTCTTGCACTAAAAAGTTTGAAGCTTTTCGAACTTCCTATGCTAAGAAATTCGATAACTTTTGAACTTATTAATCTAAAGAATTCGAAAATTGTCGAACTTTCGATTCCTAAAAAGTCAAAAGCTCGACAAACTTCAAATTTTTAAGGTAAAAGTTCGAAGTTCGTTGAACTTCGAAAGACGGGCGGGGCGGTTTCATTTGGATTTAAGTTGTGAGGTACATTCGTAATTTTTTCTCTCGCATTTTTACATGTGGTGCCGCATTCTTTGCGAAAGACAATGCCGTTTATTTCAATCATCTGGCATGCTTGGTTTTAAAGAAATAGATTCCCGAAGGAGCGAGGAAGGACGACGGGTTTTTGACAATTGTGTTTGTGCCATATTTGAAGCGCGCTATAGCCGAAGATATTTATGGTAGAGATGTTAAACTTTTTAAAAATGGTCAATGTATAACCTAGGTAAGTGTCTTCTTAAGATATGATTATTGTTGTTCAAGACGAGTTTCGAAGAAATATCCAAATATGCATCTACGGGCAATTGTGCCCTAAATTTGGTAATTTTTTTCGTCGAAATAGTTTGAGGTATCACATTTAAATTAACACCACAGGCAGTACATATCATTACTATCTGCAGAATACAAATTAATGTATATATTGTTCTTTTCACGTTGAGGAATAAATTAACTCGGGGGGAAAAAGATTTCTAATATTGTTCAAATTCGGCACGTCATAAAAAATTTTTTTTCTTTTTTTTTTTTACTTTTTTGGTACGTGTCTCTTTTAGCCTGCGCGCATTTTGGTAGGAGAAATTTGTTTCGTAGTTCTGGGCCTCTGAATATGCAAAAATACCACACTTCCGCCAGATTCTTTTTTTTTTTCTCCAGCTTTTTATTTTTTGCATTTATTGTTATGTTTATTTATTTATTATTTTTTACCAATGGCACAACCACTAAGCATGCGACGAGTAGTGCCTTCTGACGAGTTTCTAACAATGACCATCTACGCGATTTTTTATGCAGTGAAGAGCAACAGTAGCTATATATATGCATAAATAATTTCAGATTAAAATAAGCTCGACCATGCCCTCTTTCCCCGTGTTGTTTTCTTTAACAGTCCGAAATATCTGGGGGGGAGAGACTGGAGCCCCCCCTTCCCCCCCCCCCCCCCCCCCTCCTCCCGTTTTTCCTCTTCTGACGCTGCTGGTATGGTAGAACGCTCCTCGACCTCAAGTTGTGTCGGCTTCTCTGCTTTTCGCTCAACGTTTCTTCCGTCTCCGAAAATAAACCTATAAAACAATTACAAACTAAAAAATTTTGAAGCTGCAGGCGAGCTGGTGTATGTTGATCATGATGCAAAGTCCCGAGACTGGGAATGAAATTCGAAAGAAATAGTGTAAGAAGAAAGAAAAAAGGGGACAGGACAAAGTCTCAAACTCAGTTGAGTTGAGTTTGAGACGTTATTCCCGAGTTGAGGTTGAGACGTTGTCCTGAGCTGAGTTTGAGACGTTGTCCTGTCCCCTTTTTTCTGTCTTCTTACACTTTTTCTTTCAAATTTCATTCCCAGTCTCAGGATTGTGCATCATGTACAAACTAAACTTACTATATGCCAGCGTCACTCGGGCGGCGTTCGAGCAGATTACTACCAGCGTGCAAGGGGGTGGGGAGGCAGTTTGCCAGATCGCTTCAAGGTTTTTCTGAGCCTCAAGTGACCCTCAACCACCTGCCTGCCCCTGGCCATTTCGAACTGGATGAGTATCGTTAAACAGTGCGTTTGTGTGATCACTACTGCGTGATGCACGTTTAAGACCCCCCCGGGCTGGCGGCCACAATTAGTGATCTGCACACGACACTCTGCTCTGGCAAATAATCCAGCACATCCGGGACACTCGCCGTCTCATTTAATTGCCTGACCAACTTCACGCAATCTGAATATCAAACCCGAACAATTCTAAACCTGATTTCGTGAAAACCAGGGAGGCGTGAAAACGCTATTTGAAACAAACTGTGGCGGAACATGAAAACCGAACTTCGAACTATGTGCACTTGTACTTTAAAGAAATTCGAAACCTAAGTTTCTTTTTCGAATTTAGCGATAAAAGAGAATTGAAACCTTCGAACTTTATGTAGAAAGAAATTTGAAATCTTCGAATTTATCAAACTTCATGTCTATAAGAATTTGAAACGTTCGAATTTTTCGAATTTCATATCCAAAGAAATTCGAAACATTCGAATCTCTCGAATTTCAAGTTAGGAAAGTTCGAAATTTTCGATTTTTTCTCGAACCTCAAGTAAAAAAATACTCGAAATTTTCGAATTTCTTGAACCTCAAGTAAAAAAATACTCGAAATGATTGATCCCAGACTTTTAGAAACCGTGAAAGCTTCGAAAGTCGAAACTCCACGATTTTTGAAAGTTGCGAATTTTTCTAATTCAAATTTCCGTATGGTCGAAAATATCGAAACCTTTCAAATTCGAACACCAGTTCGGTTCAAAAATATCGAAATCTTTCGAAATCGAACCTAGGGTGGTTCGCAGCATCCCTATTTGATTAGTCAGTGTGGAATGCTGTTTGTTGGGAACTGAAGCACTAACATTCTTAACAGAGCACAAACAAAGTCAACACCTAGGTAGTGTGGACTATGCACTGGTTGTACACTCTTACGACTGTAAGAGTGTGTTATGACATTTTTGCTCAGTCTCTGAGCGAAAAAAAGGATGTTTTTTTACTATGTTATGTGCCAGGGTCCATTCCATGGTTAAGGTCTATTGATTTAACTGAAAACCTACCCATCAATGTTTCACCGGCTTCTTCTTTTTCTTCCAGGATGCCATGTTTAACTCCAAAGAGGTCCATAAAGTCTCCAAACTAGGACATCACTGCCAGCAGTGCAAGCCAGGACTTCGTCTGACGGGAAGAGGAGACTGCATTATTCCTTAGGAGTAAGGCTAGGTCTAGGGAGGACCCGCAATGTACAGGTGTCTTGCCGTCTAATAAAAAGCCAAAAAGTGTAGCCCAAAATATTTTGGGGTCTTTTGAGATTGTTGGGACTTGTTTACAGAATCAAGTCAAATTGTGCAAAACGTACGTCCTAATGATCATCTGCCCACTTTGACAGTAAGTGTGGTGCGACCTCTCAAAAAGACGAGGATGAACTCGTTGCTTAGCTGGCACTCGGTTAAAAGCATTGACCTTTTTTACTCGACGGTCTATTTAGCTGCAATGCACACTGTAATGCTGTAACATGTGCTAGTAGGTAGCCTCATGCATTGGCAACATCCCATACACGAGGAAACTGCTACTTTGTGTTGATAGCGCAGGTTGAATATGGGTAACTAAGTGTACTTTGGTTTTTGGACTGGGTGTATAAAGGTGGAGTCTAAATCTTTTCATGTCCCCAACTAAAAAGAACACTGCGAGTGAGAGCTTTCATCCTACCATGCATGTGCCAAACAAAGTTCTATCGGTGCTTCAGAATGATAATTTTATAAATATTTCCAAATGAAATGTTACTTGTTTTTCTGGCTAGCGGCTTTTCAGATAAGCTGTACAAGATGTATAGGACATACTAATTTGGAACGCTTTTGTCTGTAACTGTGGTTTAGCTTCGATTTTATAAGCAGCTAAAGGCTCATTCATATGTTGTTGTTTTTTTCTACTTGACAGTTCTCATGGGAGGGCTAGGGTAGTAATAGCAAATGCTCTGAATCATGTCAGTATATAGCAATCAACTCAGTGCAAGTAGTATTTTAGTTTGTTATTTTGATCCCTTTGTTGTGCATTATCTTTTGCCAATTTCTTTTTAAGAATAAGCATGTAAAATAGCTGTCTGCTTTCTGTTTCTAGTCGTTTCAGCTTTTTAATAACTGCCACAATTTTTTGTTTGCTTAGTTCCTGTTTTGCCTGCTAAATGTTATTCTTGCTTTTTTAACCAGGAAGTTTACTCTATATGAGCTGACTGCAATCTTTTGTTCATTCCCTTTTGCTTGAAACATTTGTTTAGATTTTATTTTGCCTGTATTTAGCAATGTGCCTGTACAGTGTCCGTTACAAACTTATGTACAATAAAAGAAGCTACCTTGCACATCATTGTTGGTGCCACAAGAAAAATAGGTGACTGCATAGAAATCAAGCCCATGTGCAGATATATTTGCAACAGCAAGTCTTTGCAGGGCGTACCAACTTGTTTTTGAGTGTGTGTGTGGGGGGGGGGGGGGGGGGGGGGGCAAACCAGCTCCCCCCCCCCTTCCCCCTCCGGGCTTCAGGGCCGGGAGGCGGTGCCCTTGGTATCCCTTGGGCGCCGCCGGCCGGTGTTTGCCCTGCCCAGTGGCGGCTGTTTCAGGGGGGACAAAGCACATGCATTGCCCCCCCCCCCCCCCCTACTAATAACGTTCAACGTTTTCTGGCCCCTCTCTGAACCATGCTGCGTACCCTTTCTGTGTTATCTTCCACTGTGGGGAAATAGAGCTGGTAAGCATGGGCGTCGGCAGGATTTTGTCTTGGGACGGGGGGGGGGGGGGGGGGGGGGGAACTGACAGCCATTTTTGGGCGTGTGCGCTCAAGGGGAAAGGGGGGGGGGGGGGGGGGAGCCGACAGTAAAAATACGAAAGAGCTGAATACAGCTTGCAAGATACGCATAGACTGATTAAATAATTATTTTAAAAAGTACAATGCATCAGTAATTTCAACGAACGAAAAAAACATTTTTTTATAGATATGCATACAGGCACAGTAAAAAAAAACAAGGAATTTAGTCTATGACGCTGCAAATCAACAAAACAGTCCACTTAGTTTATAATTATCTCAGATAAAAAAAAAAGCACACAGATTTTATAGACAAGTATTGGCATCATATATGTACCGTACGCAATAAAATAGCAAGACAGTGCACGTAAGTCACGTGCACACATAATAAACTGTCGCAGCAATGAACAATAACCTTTTATTTCCATATTGAACAATATTTGACGTTTATACAAGTTTTTAAAAGCTACCCCAAGGTGGCCTATGTTCCAATTTACAACTCTAATTTTCTGCACAAAATTGTCTTCGCTCGTAATATTAATTCGAAGCATTTCCCGGGTTGCGGTCCGTGGAAGACACCTGAAAGCTGCGATAGCTGTGTTGGAAAGCTGGCACAGCGGGGCTACCGCCGGAGGGTTAGTTACCATTATAACTTTCTGTATTTCCTCGACGTGGGTTCCCTTAGCTTGCCATGCTCGCTCTGTCACATCTCAGAACTGGAGTAAAATTTTAGTCCTCTGGTCTTTATATTAGTTGTTATATATCTATCTGACCAAGCTCAGCTTTGCATGAATACTCCCTCAGTTAAAGACCCTCAGTTAAAGACGAGCTTGACATACCTGTGAGAGTCGAGTTGAGGGCAAAGCCAATATTCAGCTGGCTCTTTAAAGCCGGAGGATGCTCAGGAGTGACGGAGACAGCAGGGACATCGATAGATTGCAGGTCATGACACAGCTCAGAGGTCACATGCTTCTTCGTTGCACAAGATGGATTCTCATTATCACTGTCAGCTTTCCGTTTAAAAAAGCTTCTGATGTCCATTTTCACTCCTGATCATATCAGCCCACGGTTGTATAAAAAAGTGGGATTGGGTGCGAAATGTGGCCCTTTCAAGCAACTGGGCCAGGAAGAGAGTCAGCAACAGCCAAGTGTGCCACCCTGTCACAGATATTCGACGGTGTCACGCGCGTGAACACGATGGTGTCAACGAGGACGGTCCGACACGCCTCTCCCGCATGATTTATGGCCCGGGGAAGTATCGTTGTTGACATGGTGCGAACAGAGTTTCGCAGAACTGCTATGTCCAAAAGAGGACGCCTGGTCCCGATTTTGACTCCCCTCTTCTCCTTTCCCAAGACCCGAAACATGCTACGGGCAAAGGAGAAGAAAAACCCAAAGGTACATATACAAAACAGAGCACTGGCGTGAGCAGTGGCGTAGACAGGGGGGTGGTTTGGGGGTTCGAAACCTCCGCAAAATGCCAAAGCTACCCCTCCTTCTTCCCCCCGGAGCGAAGGGGAAGCGCGGACAATCTCACACTATGCTCCGTTTCTCCTTACGATGGACCGCGGAGGACGCTACGAGCCATCGGAGCCAATCCAATGCCGCATGAGCGTCACGTCACCTTTAAAATAGACGCAGCGAAGCGCGAGGCGCGTGGTCACGTGATACGTTCACATACGCTGGATTGGCTGGTATGACTTGTAGCGTCCTTTGCAGTCCATCGTAAGCTGAAATGGAGTATAGTAGCTACGCCATTTGTTCTCTTGGGTTTTTTTTTTTTTTTGAAGAATCCCGCTTTGTGTAGGAGACGCTCTATTTCTGGGGCATTTGGCTGACTTTCACTCGAATGCCTGTGATGAATCACAGGCATTCGGCTATATGAATTACACGAAGGGGGAGGAAGTTTCCTCCATTGGGCGAAAAAAGGTGGCAATTTTCCTCCCTTTGTAGGGGAGCAACTTTTTTCTCCTTAGGCAAAAATAGGTGGCAACTTTCCTCCCTTTGTAGGGGAGCAACCTTTCCTCCTTAGACAAAAATAGGTGGCCACCTTCCTCCCTTCTTAGGGGAGGAACTTTTCCTCCCCTCTTGGGGGAGCAACGTTCCTCTCTTTCTAAAGAAACATGGGTGACCGGGTGTTTTTCCTCTAAAGGAGGAAGTACTACTCCTTTTTTTTAGAGTGCAACAGGTGACTGCGGTGTTCTCGGAAGTAAATGCCGCTCCCTATATATATATATATTTTTTTTTTTTTTTTGTTAGCTGGACGCGGCTGATTGCAACTTACCGAGGGGAGACCTTGTTCTTTTTTGTGCTTATTGCTGAAGGATAAAAAGGAAACAAAAGTGCTTGAATTTATTTTTAGTATTGCTTTCGGTTTCTCCGCTTGCTAAAAAAGCTATGGCGCGACGTCATTCGATCCCCCGTACCCGAGAGAGCTGGGGAAGGGAGGTGGGGGGGGGGGACAAGTGCCCCTTTTGCATTCCCCTGCCGACGCCCATGCAGTGGTAAGTGCCTGGCCATTCAAGCGTTTCTGCTCGACATTCACGAGAAACGTAGGAGGGGAAGGACGTCCAACGGTCCTCGACGTGATTTTGTGAACTATGACAACTGGTCTCCCCCCTCCCAAAGATAATCCGGGTAGATTCCTTCTCAGTCTTAGCCAAAAATAGTTGTTCGGGTTGGAGTCAGTCGTGCCCGTTCCTTTGCCTTGGTGCTTGTGTGAAAAAAAGGAAGCTCTCCCCAAGACGTGCCCCAAAAGGAAGTCATCTTGGTTTCCGTCTGATCAAGATGTGAACATGTCGTCGATTGTGACTGCGTTATATAGGGTGTCACAAAAGAAAATTTACACGGTCTTTTTTACCGCAAAAATAAACTAGGCATCGCCGAACGCTCATTCTCCGCCCAAAGGTAGTGCTATAGGTCACAACCAGATGCCAAAGTTTCAGCCCGATCCGATAACTTAATCAAAAGTTATAAGTGATTTTCTGAAAAGTTCAATGGGAAAATGGCGGCCGACGGAGTTTTCAAACACATGGGGCTCTATGGCACCAGAAACCGAAAACGGGCGAAAATGGGCTCCATTTTCCCATTGAGATTTTCAGAAAACCACTAATAACTTTTGATTAACTTGTCGGATGGGACTGAAACTTTGGTATCTGGTTGTGACCCCTAGCCCTACCTTTGGGCGAAGAATGAGCGTTCGGCGATGCCTAGTTTATTTTTGCGGTAAAAAAGACCGTGTAAATTTTCTTTTGTGACACCCTGAGCGTGAAAAATGCATGCCTTTGGGCTATATCTTCTGTGGTAAATTATTTTCGACAGCTAAGTGCTTTGTCGTTTGACACACGACAAAGCATCGGGCGGCGCCGTTAAAACTTATCGTAAAAAAAATAACAACGACAACTCATATTCCAGTCGCATTCGTTCTGTCGCGCGCGTACCCAACCAAAATAGTCGAAAGTCTTTTTTTTTTTTTTGAACATGTGGTAT